AGGAATGAAAGCAAGCCCTTCGAGACCGCAGCCTCCTGCAGTGTCTGATTCAGCGTTGGCGAGGTGTGCACGCTGTGGGTCTTGGCACAGAGCGTGTTCCTTTTCCTCCAGCGCAATTAGAGGAACCCTAGCCCTGTAGCGTAAGAACTCAAGGTTTCTGCAAGAAGTCTGCAAGAAATCTTATCAGACACGCAAAATATCTTCCTGCTGGAGGCCTACACACTCGGGCAGCTTTTCATTGTTCACTGTGTATCTTTGGAGCATTAAAATAACGCTTTGTAATGTGTTAGCTGTCACCGTGTTGTCCAGATTCCCCATGAAAATTAGTGTGTGTTGGTCAGAGCTCAGTTAGGAAATGATTTCAGAGTGATTCCTGTGTTTCGTGTCACTGAAGGCCGTGGTCCTGGTTCCTACTCCTTTCTTCAGACGCAGTGTGGGGGATCGCCTCATCCCTGACGTGTCGGGGGCCATCCGGCCCTTTCCCTCTAGTGGCCACTGTACCTCTGGCAGAGAGCCAGCTAAGCTGGAGTACTTGCTCCGAGGGTTCCTCAGACGTAGTGCTGTTCATGTTTTGGGCTGGGTAATTCCTCGTTACCGGCAGAGCGGGTCTGGGAGGGAGGTTGCCCTGTGCCTCGGAGGGTGTCTAGCATTGTCCTGGCCCCCATCTCTAGATGCCAGTGACAGCTGCCTGCAGCCTTTCCCCCCTCGTGTGTCACAGCGCCTGCTGGGGACTAATGCCACCCACTGTTAGGGCCCGCTGATGAACCTATTAGTTCTGTAACTACCTGCTCAGGGAAGATGCCTTTTGGTAGACGATGGGGTTTCTGTTTTGTATCTCCAAGTGCGACAGCTGCCTAGGACTGAAGGGAGGGAGTGGGGATGGGGATGGTGGTTCTCTTCTAGGACTCCCCTCTCTCCACAGAGGACCCCTCCGGCAGTGCGTGTTGCAGAGGCTCTTGCTTTTCCTAGAGTCTGATAACTTTGCTTACTACTTCCTGCACTGTCAGGGGCATGGCACGTCCATCTAGTTCATCTCTGTTGTCCTATGGGTTTAGTAATAGGCACACTGATTATTTGAAGACAGACTTTTTCAAAGACTAAATCTAGTATGTAGGAAAGAGATCTTTAGGTGTCTTTGTGTTTTGGTTTTAAATATCTTCTCTTAAAAAAGACCTCTGGCCGCGGTTGCCACTTGGCAATCCGCCCGCCCAACAACCTTTTTGGGTGTACTTTCTTTCTTTCCTTTCCTTTCTTTCTATTAAACTTTCTTTTCTAT